TTTAAAAAAAATTAATTATTCTTATTTACATTCGTAGTATTTTTCGTAAAATTTCTGTACTTTCCTTTCAGAATACGAATGATACCGATTTATACCGCATTGTAAAGTGACGATATACTACTTTGAAAGTGCGGAAATAAAAAGAAAGGAAAGGTAAGGACAGGCGAAAGGTATGGACACCCGGACGGCTTTTTATGACAAATCAGGTATCGTCAAATCGGAAAACGTAAGAAAGATATTTATTAAACACTAAAATATTTTAGTTTGTGCGTCATTGAAAATGTAAAGTATTACAGACTTTCAATTACGGAAAACACGGCGCCATTTTTTAAAAATTCAAGCGTTTTTCGTAAAGATTTAAAGAATTCCAAGGTATCACACTGCAACTTCATAACAGTAAAATAAAAGAAAAGTATTGAAATTTCTACGATGACTAAAATTATATCTTAATTTTTTAAAATTTAATTAACAAATTACAGGTTCAGAACTGCCAATTAAGGCTATAGACAAACTTTCATTCTTGCCTTTAACTTAATAGTTGAAAATCTATCTAGTATATGTAAAATATAATTATTTGAAAAATTATTTTACTTTAAAAAGGTTTCTCAATTTATATTCTTAACAATTCCCTACTTAATACACCAAAAATATTCTTTATATCCATTTACATTATGGAATTTTATTTGAATTCATTTTGCATAGGACTTTCACATACATTTTAACGTTTTTTAATCAAATAAAAGTTACAAATTTTTCTGATTTTTTTCCCTTGAGGTTTTTTTCTAAAATTTGGCAGTTTTATATAGTAGAACAGAATATTTACAAAACAGAATATAATAATAGAATAGAATAGAGTTGTAGAATATTATTTTTACAAATTCCCTTTTAGAGTTCGCTTGATATTGTAGTTTTATTGTTGTTATTAGCAGGTGTGGTTTTTTCCCCCTAGAATTTGGCACTTTTATATAGTAGAATAAAATATTTACAAATCAGAATGCACTAATCGAATAGAACAGAGTTGTAGAATATTATTTTTACAAATTCCTTTTTAGAGTTTGCTTGATATTGTAGTTTTACCGTTATTATTAGCAGCGATGGTTTTTTTCCTAGAAGTTGGCAGTTTTTTATAGTAGAATAAAATATTTACAAAACAGAATATAGTAATAGAATAGAATAGAGTCGTAGAATATTATTTCTACAAATTCCTTTTTAGCGTTCGCTTGATATTGTAGTTTTATCGTTGTTATCAGCAGGTGCAAGGCCACAAAATTTCCAAAGCTCGTGTCTTTTTAATAGCATTATTACAAAAAGATATATAGTATTATAATTAATTTATACTATATTAGGTAATCGTTTTTTAATAATACTATTTATATACTACATTTAAAGTATTATATTAATAGTATTAATAAGAAAAGGTTTCTTTAAGATTTATGATTATTCCTCTCTTTCTTTGTTTTTATAAAATAAAGTATTCATTTTAAGTAAATTTTAAATAAATTTCTAATATTAAGAGTTGTTACTAAGTTTTCCCCTGCATATCATCAGTAGTATTTCTATCATTTTCGGCATTTTATTTAATTTACACTGAATATATTACGTTTACTTCTGAGAGCAATCGTAACATCAAAGAATTTAAATTTCTCAGATTATATTAAATGATATATGTTTCTACCTACATATTTCCACTACAGTGAATTTGCACTGTATTTGAAAATGACAGTGTACTACTACGATGAGCATAACTCCGGAAACATAATCAAATTAAAATAGCTCTTTTATTAAAGGGAAGTGAAAACAAAAAGGCCAGTTCAAATTTCCAATTTTAACCCAGAAATTAAAATAATCTTTATTTATTAGAGAATAATCTATATTTTTAACAATGTCTTTTGTTTCAAAACTGCAGTTAGTAACAGAACCTCTTAATGAATGACTCACTGTCTTTAATAATTAAAAAATTTCATAACTGATCGATGAGCCTTCCACATTCCATCTAAATGTTTACTTCCACGCGAAGACTCTTTCGAACAGATAAAAATAGATATAGGTGAAACTCTCACAAGAACGCACTCCTAACCTACATTACGAAGCGTAGCTCTAATTTTGTCAATCCATTTAGATGCTTTTAAACAAATTGTTTCAATGAAAAGCTTTTGTCTCAGTGTAATGAATTTTAGTAATCTAAACTTTTACTATTTTGAAAAAGAATTCAAAATAAATATAAAAATAATATAAAAATGTTTTTAGAAAGTAAAAATTTTATTTTCAAAGTTTTTAGAAACTGGCAGCTAAAAGACGGCTTAAAATCCACGATATTGTTGTAAATATAAAGCATATTTGTGTAATCTCTGCAGTATGATTACAAAAATAGGAACCTTCTATTTGTACATTAATAAAATTTAACACATTCCACTTCACTAAAAGGTTTGTTTAAAATTCCTAGTCCCAATCTATGTACATGCATATTCATTCTAATAGTACTAAAATTCTGCTCTCAGAACATTTGACTCTCAGGAGGATTAATTATTTAAAATATAATCTGAATTTTTACATTTCTGGAAAACTTCTAGCTAAACATGCAAAATGTCAATTATATAAAATGCGCAGACAAAATTATGTTTACATATTTTATAACCACAAGAAAAATGAGATAAAATTTAAACAATCCGAAAACTTTCAGATTTTATATTACTCCAACGAGATTTTGTGTATTACCTTAATTTGTGTATTTATAAATCATGTTCTTCGCAATTAAACCACATAAAACTCAGTTCAACAGCAGTTATCACAAAATTTTTAAAAACAGCATACCTTAGAATTTCCGACTGACAGTCTCGCGCGGTGGAAATAATTTTTTCCCTCGTACAACGTTACCCCATTGCTCGTTTTGAAATAAATCGTCAGGTTTGTTAGTGGAAAATTCGTTAAAGTTTTACAAAATGTGAAATAAATAATAAAGCAAATTCAAAATTCGGGGCTCCAGGTGCCCATGTTCGGGTGGAGGATTACGTTATTCAAAATTTGATGGCTGTAGGAAACGTCGTTTTTTCACAGTGCGAGAAACATACATACATTCACGCAGATTCTTCATTATTTAATTTCTTTAAATATAATACAGGGCGATAATATTTGGTGGTAACAATTTAAAAAGTGATTCGCCGTTTGTAGTGAAACGCTACAAAATGACATTTAGAGACTAATAGCCCTTTTGGGTTACCGCCCCTTTGGGCTAAAATTGAGTATCTTGACGAAAGCGTTTTAACTGTATATTGTACCTTTTAAAGCAATTACACTAGTAACACAGATATAAGAAAGATATTTTTTTAAGTAAAAGAATAAATACTTTAAATTCATATCATAGGAAATTTTGTTTATTTAATTAAATGGACTGCTATAAATCATCAAAACTAGTTTAAATGCTAAATTAATAGTAAAACTCTTTTGATTACAAAACACATATTTAAGTGTATTTAAATTAAAACCTCACGCAAATTGTGAAGGCTAAAGAAACAATTGATTTTTAAGCCATTATTTTAATAGAGTGTTTTCTTATCCACAAATAAAATTATGTGAGAATTTCATAAATGTAAATTAAACATGATTATAAAAACTCTTATTAAAACGTAGCTAATCTGTTACTGCGAATCCATTAACATACTTAATTCCTATATTATTGTTTCTAAATTATGAATTTCCAAAATTTAATTTAATACATAAAAATTTTTTAAAAAATTAAATTTTCAAGCTTTCTTATGATAAAATTTAAAAAATATCATCTGAGTTTCATTTAACTAAATACTCTTCTATCACATAAAATTTTATTCAGCTAAAATATAATGTGTTAAAAATTATATTAGGCACATTTTTTTTTACCACAAGTTCATAACTTTCCCACTTATTCAATATGCATTTCTTCCATTTTTGACAATCATAACTTTCTCACTTATATTTTTTATTATTGAAAAGGCATTTCTTCAATTTTTGAAAAGACAGACACGTAGGTAATATAATGTTATATTCCAAATACAATTTTCCAAGATTTTTAAAATTCTCTTGCACTTTTAGTACCATACTAAATTTCATACTAATCATACTCATTTGAAAGCAATGCTCAAAGGATTATTTTGTTTAAATATGCATGATTAAAATGATCTTCATTATAACGAAGTGAGATAGAATACAATTTCCTACAATTTAGCTTACAAACGATTTATTTTAAATTAACATAATGAACAACATTTCTCACAGTAGCATTTAATGTTATACTAATAAATGTTAATTTTCTCCTCTCATTAGATTGTATTTTTCAAGAATCATTAATGCCGAAAGTTTCCCTGAGAATTTTATAAATAAGTAAAACTCTTATATACAAAGCATTTAACTGGTAGGTCTTAAATGGAACATTCCTGATATTCTGATGGTACAGGAAAATAATTTCGATTAATACGATTTAATTACAAAATAGTTTTTTTTCCTTCTCGACACATTTGCACTTAAAAATATGTTTCCCTATTATTAAAGCTTAATCAATTTATATTTTTCAAGTTCGCATCTAATAGTTCAAGAAAGTGACGTTGAACTTAATGTGACGTTGAAAGTTGAACTTAAATAATAGCATGTTATTATTCAAAATTTTAACACCATTATTTTCATACAATTTAGTAAATTAAAAAAAAATGAAGGACAGAAAAGAAAATATAATTTTTACATTTTTGACCAATTTTCGATTAATGAATAAGTGTTTGCTATATTACCTGTTAAATACAACTTAACACAAAGATATTCGCAAAACATTCTGCTTAATGACAATGAAAATAATGACTGGTCCCTATTCTAAATTAACAATTAACATAGACAATAAACGCTTATTACATTTAGAGTTAATGAAGTATAACACTGTCATTTAACATTTACATATAAATTAAACTCAACACTTCTAAATTATTTAAACAAGATTCCATTCATCTAATCTAATGAAACTCAAATTTCAATAAACTCACCTGTTGATCACTGACATCTCCAGCGCTTGGTGTCACATATAGAATTCAGGCGAACTTGGACTGCTAGCGTTTGTGTTGGACAAACTAGACGACAGAGATCCTTGTTGGGAACATTCTCTGGACCTGAACAGCTGTTTCAATTGCTGTTTGAAATAGTCTCTTTCTTGTAAAGCCCTGTCTCGTTCCTGATAAGCTCGTTCTTTTTCTTGCCTTTCGATTTCTTTTTCTTGCATAAGCCTTTCAAGTTCAGCTTTCAAACTACGATTATTTTTCTCTAACTGACACTTCAGAGCTATCCTCTTTGTTCGACAGTTCTGAGCATAGCCTCTGTTTTTAAGAGTCCGTCTTTTCTGCTTAATGCGTTGAATCACTTCTCGAGGATAGCCATGAAGTCTGCGATTAAGGTCCCGGACAGACATATGGATGAGTTGATCATCGGTCAAACCAGCATCCGGTTCGCTACTGGGGTCCATTCTTAACATTGCCCTACTAACAGCATTGCCTCCACTTCCATTTGATACTTGATTAAACGATGGAGATGGTATGTCTGTCAAGGAATCGCAATCATCGCTGCCTGTGAAAGAGCCACCAGAGAGCGATGAAGGAGGACCGGATTCGATGCTGCCTCCGTATCCATTCATACAACCATTCAGTTTTTGCTGCTGTTGCTGTTGTTGCTGCTGCTGTTGAATGTGCTGCTGAATAACAGATGTCACGGTTTGTTGTTGATGGTCCTCGAGATTTTGTGCGGCTAAAATATCTCCAAAGCTACGTCGCATCATCCAATTGTCCATTTCGGATATATCTGCTCGGAGATCTAATGGCCACATCATATTTTCATCCACTAGATTTGTCCTACCGTCTGGTTGCATGGCAGGACTGTCAGAAGGTACGGCATCAACCGACGGCGGCGACTGCGGCAGACTTGGGTGGTGGTAGTCTGGCGTGAATCCCGGCGTACTAGCAGTAAGCACAGCGGAGCGTCTTACCCCTCCTGGCAGCGAGCCTACCGCAGGGCAAAGCATTTCTACGCCAGGAAATTGAAAAACACCAGCGCCAGGCTGGTGTTGTTGAAGATGCTGCTCCATTAGATTGACTTGAACTCCCCGATGGTCGGTATTTCCGCAACAGTTAATGTTGTTTTCTGACAAGTGATGGCCCTCTATTTCTCGTTTCAGATTTTCATCCAGAGAATTCAGCTCAAAGTCATGCTCCATCGGGAGTGAGGCTAGTTTTAGGACCATGGAATCGAGGAATTTATTTCCATAAGAAAATTACAAGTTTGTATAGTAGATAATAAAATTAAAAAAATTTCTATAAACAGGCTGGGAGAAAAAGGCTTGGCTTGAATTCTTAGGATTCCGATCCGAATCCCAAAATAGTTAGAAGATTTCTTTCCGCAAAGACGAAACAAACGCTGAACTGCACTGAGGAGAGGATAATTTGCGACTTCTTTCTCTTTAGTCTTTTATCTACCTGACTCGGTAACACATGCAACTGCGTGCGGTGAAGTTGCGTAAAAAAGGAAAGAGGCGATGAGCACGTGCTTTTTCTCTACCCCCACCGCTACTATCAGCCTATTCCGTCGTACTCTGTGACACGGGAGCGGTGCTCTGAATTTACTTCGGGAAAGAAAAGTCCCCATTTGCCCGCAGCGCCGCGCTTTTAAGCTTTTCCCGCTCTGTGGACCCTCTTCGTATTTATGACGTTCCGGGGACATTTCGTGACGTCACGGGATACACTCAACCCTACCAATCACAAAGCGTCTCCGATATGGATAAAAGTTTTTAAGTTTCAAACTGTTTTGATTTTATTTTTATTCGGCGCTTGATTCGTTGTGACGTCGACTCCGACACTGTAGCAGGTAGGATTTCCGTATACCCGTCTAGTATTTTGTCTAGTGTCCGATAAGTTGTGTTATTTATTCTTTTCTTTTCTAAGTAGATTATGCGAGTTTTTTACTTTTTTCAATATAGGAAGAGAAGGGGCAGGGAGTCGAAGATTGTGACCGAGATGTCTGTGTTTACACAACGAGATCGAATTTTGAGTAAATTTAAAAGATACTCAGTATCAAATTTTAAGAAGAAGGAAAAAATTAATAGGTCAGCTTTCTTTTTTAATTTTTTATTATTTTATGCATAAAAATCATATGTTTACATAATGTTCATAATTTCTACCTATAAATTAATTTTAAATACATAACTAAATTTACTGATTAATTCTTAATTTTACGAGATCTTTCATTTTTTCCAAAGAAATTTAATATTAAAAACTAGATGTTCATTTAAATTTTTTTAATGATTTAATGCTAGTGAAAATATGTCTTAAAGTTTAGATTTTGTATTCGTTTTATGTTAATCATTTGAAAAGGAAGAAAATATATTAAAACTAAAATTATAGTTAATTGGAAAAATTATAATAGAACGCCTAATTATTAAATGAAATAGCATTAAATCTAAAAGAAAACAGTTACCAAATTTATTTGTTTTATCAAAACATATGAACTAAATCATTTTCACTGAAATACACGCAAGATTTATATAAAGAAAAGTAATTTAATATTTGATTTCGTATAAGCTCTATTTTAGTAAAGTTTATGCTTGTTCTCCTGAGTTTTAATCTTTAGATAAATTGAACCTTTCTGTAATAACTTAATAGAAATTTAAAACTCAGATTTGAAACGAAATATGAGATAAACGGAACAGAAGTAAAATTTGAAGTTTATATAAGATTTCAAGAAATCGTTTACTTACTAAAAGCCTATCCTTTCAGCAATTATTTTACTCAATGCTTAATTTTATCTGGAGCAGAAGCGTTAGAAATACAAGTCGTAATTACTTCAGGGGCTCACTACGACTTTTGCTCTGATGAACTACTAATAACTTTATATTTAAATGACTTTAAGTTATAAATTTATAAATGACTTAATTTATAAATTTTTATTTAAAATATAATATAAGTTATTTAATTTATTAAAATTATTTTTATAAATATAAATTTATATTTATAAATTATTAAATGGCTCAAGTTATAAATTTATATTTAATGACAGATGAAATCGTATATTCCAGTACATTCCAATCTTTTCCATTCGCAAGCATAAATAATCTCACGGTACAACTACCAATCACAAATAATATCACGACATGCTAAAGATTCAATTAATAAGATCTTTCTTTCAAACATTTTGCATTATGATACATAAATATTCCACCCAGATAGTTGTCTCAGGTATCATATGTTCTCATAAAACGGAGTAATAAATAAAACAAATAGGATGAAATGCTGCACTCTTCCTTATCAATTGATATTTGGCATATTTTTTATATCGTGCTTATGAACTAAACTGTCAGATTTGGCTGAGTGAAACTATGATTAAATATTTAGAACACTTATCTTATAAAATTATGATGTGGAAATGCAAAAGTAAAATGAATTAGATGGAAAAGATTTATTGAAACTACGCATAAACATATTACTTCTATTAATTTAATGACAAAATGGAACATTTTAAGTATTAAATAAATAAATCAAAGTTAATAGTCTTCACAAACATTTAAACTGAAGTGTTGAAAAACGAACTTACAAGAGATTCATTTATAATTTATAAGTTTTAAACATCTTCAGGTTTACATAATTAGGCAATATTATCAGGAACATATTCCATAAAATAAAGGTAACAGGGCTGAAAAAAAATGATGACCAAGTGCAACGTTAACACAAAATCATTTTAAGAATTCTGCATCTGAATCATAGGTAGAATTCACTTTCGCCAACTTTGGGGCTTGTTTGTTTTTGATGCTACCGAGTTTCATCGTGGAAAAGTGACACTAATTTACCCTAACAGTTATTAGTCCAAAGAAGCAATTTGCCCAGAAGGACTATTAATTTCGTTTTCGCATTTTTGCGTCGATTCACGATAAGCGTTGTTTCACTTTTCAAATTGTTGCCACCAAATATTATCGCCCTGTATTATATTTAAAGAAATTAAATAATGAAGAATCTGCATGAATGTATGTATGTTTCTCTCATTGTGATAAAACAACGATACCTAGCGCCATCAAAATTTGAAAAAAAAAAAAAAAAAAAAAAAAAAAAAAAAACTGAAAAGGTTTCAGATTTTAAATTACGTCCAAAGGGGCGTTTTTTAACGTTTTGTGTGTTACCTTTATTTATTAAATATCATGTTCCTTCGCACTTAAACCATAAAATTCAGTTCAATAGCAATGTCGCAAAATAATTTTAAAATGAGCATATCTTTAGAATTTCCGATACACAGTTCCACGCGCTGGAGATAAGGTTTTTTTTTCCCCGTAGAGTGTTGCCATTGCTCACTTTGAAATCCTTGAGTTTATTAATAAAACATTCGTTAAAGGTTTACAAAATATGAGATGGATAAGAAAACAAATTCCAAATTTCAAATTTGGTCTTCAAATTTTTGATAGCCCATATTCGTCGGAGAATTACGTCATTCAAAATTCGATAGTTCTATGTACCGTTGTTTTACCACAATGCGAGAAATATACATACATTTATGAAGATTTCTCAGCATTTAATTCATTCAAATATAATGCAAGACTCTAACATTTGGTGGCAACAGTTTGAAAAGTGAAACTGATATTTATAGTGATTCAACGCAAAATCGCAAAACGAAAGCAATAATCCTTCAGGGATAAAGCCCCTTTGGACTAATAATATAATCTTCCCTAGAATATAGGCATGCAGAAGCTCTAATTTGAATTTAAAATTTGGTTTATTATTGATTCCATATTTTGTAACACTTCAACGAATTTTTTATTAACAAATTAAACGATTTGAAAGCGAGCAATGGCAACACTATACGGGAAAAAAAAACATTTTTAGCTCCAACTTGGGAGACTCTGTATCGAAAATTCTAAAGATGTGCTCATTTAAAAATTATTTTGCGATACTGCTGTTGAACTGAAATTTATGATTTGATTACGTAGAACATGATATTTAATAAATAAAGGTAACACACAAAATGTTAAAAAACGCTCCTTTGGATGTAATTTAAAATCTTTCAGATTTTCTTCCTTTTCCCTTTATCAGATATTTAAGATGGTTTCTGTTAACGTAACATTTTTTATGTAGGGTTTGACCCCGATCTAAAAAAGGTGCATACAGTTCATGATCAATGATGATTTCTTTAAATTTTTGATAGTGAGCACAGAAGAAGGACTTTGTGTCCTTATGAAATTAGTTATTATTGTAAAATAGAAATCCTAAGAAATTAGTTATTATTGCAAAATTTATAGGTTTTCCACCGATGGATGGAAAGTACATTTTATGAAATTACCCAGAATTGAGATAAGGGAACATTATTAAACTCAGTTTCAAGGATAAGATCACTTTTTAAACCTAATAAGTTTTTTTCTTTTTCTTCACTTAAATGAAATGCCATGTGATCCATTGAAGATACATATGGATTTAGAGCACTTGATATAAAAGTTTTAATAGTTCCTTTTTTAAGATTCGAATCACAACACCAAAAAACATTACTGCAGAAATATGTTTCATCACATCTTTCCAAAGCTGAATTTTGTTTTTGAATCCATTAATTTTATCAATGAAAGTTAATATATTCTCAAGTATTTGAAGCGTTGAATTTTTTTGATTAAGTTAATTTAGTATTCAAATATATCTGCTAAGTAGGCCATTTTTGAAGCAAGTAGTTGTCTTTCAACTTAACTGAATGCTGAGAGTTACTTTCAAAAATATACTTTTAATTCTCCTTTCAGCTCATGAAGTCTGGACAAAACTTATCTTCTTGACACCCAGTGAACTTCAGTATGAAACCACAAAGAATGATGCTGTTATCCCATTCCATCATATAAAATATAAAAAGGCTTGATTAAAGTGATCTACTACTGACTACTACTGTTCATCATTTTTATTATGTCATTAAATGTGTACTTTAATTCTGGAAGTAAAATATTTGACATGAGAGCTTAACTATTAGAAAAGCAAGGTATAACTTAAGCATCAGGAGTTTCAGACATTGAAATTTCGCAATGAGTAATTATAATAATAATTTTTTACGAAATCGTGTTTGTTTCAAAGTATTTATTTATCGCATTCAGCTTGGTTTTCTGGTAGTGTCACCTCGTAATCCGGAATTTGCGGTTAAACTTTTCGCGATACACTTCCAGCCGTTTCGCCGTATATCGAGTGGGTAACACTGATATACTCTGTACAGGTTTAAAATGCGTACTTTGATAAAGTCCATTTAACAATATATAGTAACCATTTTCTCAAAATATTACAGAAAGTTCAGGAAAACATTACTTTGAAAAACATTAGACGAGGTACAAGATCAAATATATTTAAGATACAAATAAAAAGAAAGTATGATACTTGATAAAAGGCTCTGATTCCTTTTATTACCTTATCAATTGATTTAAGAATATGAAAAGAGTATAGGTTTAATATTATAGAGTAAATTTAAAGTAATTAAAAATCTTAGTATTAATAACAATGGCGAAATTCATATCATTCTTATGCATGAAAAAGTAAGTAAATTATACTTTGCGCTTTCAGATTTTTACTTACAAGCTAGAATACTTCGAAACTGGTGTTAAAAACAAAACTAGAGTAAATAATTAAGAAAGATATTAAAAGTTTAATGAAAATAATATTATTTTTACGTGAATTAGATGCCTTTTTTGCTTTCAACAAAACAAAGAAAAACATTTTCAGTCATACTAAGGGAAACCGATAACAAATTAATAATTTAAACATTACAAAATTCTTTAATTCCTTCGGCAATATCTCGAGTAAAATATTATATTTTAGATTTTTTTAATATTTTGATCCATTATGATTAAAATTGCCGCCCAACAGGTATAGTGGTTAGCGATGTTGATTGCTGTGCTGGACGGCTCGGGTTCGAATCGCGGAGAAGGCATGGGTGTTTATAAATGTATAATGTCAGTGCGGCATGGCGGCACTGTAAATATGCGGCGAGCCGAAAGTCCTCTCGTGTGGTTTAGTGTAAGGCGAAAAGGGTGGGAGGCCATCGAACCTGTCCCCCCCCGGGGTTGCTCTCCATCAAAATTGGGGCGGAACTGAGCAAAATCGCACTGTCACCTGAATGGTGCTCAAGGCTGTTGCCAACGGCAGGCGTAATCTAGTGCCCCTTGCCATGAGGTATTTCGTGTGCTTGGGCTGACTACGTCAAACAAGTGAGCATAAACAATAACGGCAACAACATGATTAAAATTACATATTTTATAATGCGCAAAGTAGATAGATACATGGTTTCACTTTTTTTACATCTTTAAAGGGGCTTCCTGTTTTATCAAAAAGTTCTCTTCCTCTCCGAGTAGCCATATATACCTTTATCTTATTTTGTTTTCTAAAGATACAGACGTTTGGACAGCGAATAGTTATTTCCTTCATCAGATTACAACACTTGGCTTTTAAATCATGTTTATCAGGAAGTAATTCATGATGCGTACATGCAGGAATAAGTAATTCGGGATTTATTATTTGATTATACTAAAACGCATTGAGATCATCTGCCTGTGAAGAAGGATGCCTTTAAAAGGATTTTCTAATAAAAACACGCTTTTACACATGAGGAAAAACCCGAAATTCCCATATAGCTACTTTATCTCATTACAAAGAATAAATCTCGAGAAAAGTATAAGCAATATGCCATAAGTATTAAGCAATTTAGACGGAAAGAAACTTTTCTGCATATTTTGAAAAATGATTCTAAGTTTATTTTAATCGTCACGTTATTTTTATTCTAATTCTGTCCTGTAATACTGTTTCTTCCGTCAGGTTCACCAGACATAAAAGTTAGGTGCGTTTTAAACAGAAACGTGTAAATTCGGGAGAGAGAGAGTCTGGAAACGTAACTGCCTATGCTGATTCTCTTGTTTTTCTATCCGAATGTAACTCACGCTGGTTTTGGTAAGTATTTTCTAATATTTCTAGTATTTATGCTTAGAGATTCTACATAATTAGCAGCTTGTTTGATACTATTCATTTTACTATTTCTTTTGCGCGCATTTAAACTTGTTGTGCTTCCATATCTTGCAAGAAGGGAGGTTGATTTGCTATTTTTAGTTTGTAATCCATAGAACAAATAATTCAGCCGTAATCAAATAGTTAAGGTAACCCGCCAGTGACCGAAGGTAAAAGCTGCTGAACACGGGTCCGGGATTCGAGTAACAGCAAATGGACTGGTTGGTCTGGATATGTTCGTAGTTTTCCTCATGTGTAACGTGGATACGAACCAGTTTCTCTTGAAAAGTTCTTCACGGGGTATCCCTCCCTTTCCGTCTAGTGCCAAATCGTGAGCACGTAGCAAATAAAAAAATACATGAGTATTCATAAAAGCAAGTGGCAGTACAATTAAAAGTTTAGTTTGAATTTTACTCTTGTTGTAATAACTAATTCCCTAGAATGGTGCGAAAACTGTAAATGCGAAAGCGATAAGTCTTCTGTATCTTACTTAAGTTAAACAAGTGTTTAGTTTAAGTATAATCATGCGCCAAACGTAACTAAATTATCTTTATTGAAATAAAATTTTTACAAGTTTTTATCTTTTTAGAATCAAATATATTAAGACAAAGTACTCGGTTATTTAGTATATCACGTAATCAAATATTTTACTGAACATACTAAACAGTTTGTGTTATTTATGTAACTTTGTGTATATATAACTTTGTATGTAATTTTATTTTATTATCCTTTTATGTTTAAATGTAACAACGCCGATGTATAACTCAGTATTACGTAGAAATAGTGTATGGTCAGTTCAAAAGTTTCATATCCTAGCTGGTTAGTGTATTGGGGCAATACTTGTTCTATTCTGTAGTGAAGTTTCTGGTGCCCCATGCACTTTTACCTGTTTACCTGTTTAGTACATTTCATTCTTATATTACAGAAAATTTTTATCAATTGGTAAATAACAAAATAACAAAAAAAAAAAAAAAAAAAAAAAAACTTACTGATACGCCTTTGAAGAACTGTTTTCGTGAGGAATGTTTTAAGAGAAATTGATTTTATCTGAGCTAAAACTTGAAAGAAAATTTGTCCATGCAGTCTCTCTATCCTTTTGGGAATTAAGATGTAACTGTCAGAGTTTAGTTATTTTATCCGCATGGTAACTGATGTATCGATCGCGTACCCGGTCAACACTTAAAATATAAATTCAAGAATGTTCTTGAAATACATTAAAACGTACCAAAGAATAGAGGATTTTATAGGAAATTGATTTCTCCAGTAAATATTCCAAACGATGATCTCGATATTGCTGACATTAAATAGTACTGTTTATGTATTCCTCTCAATTCTTATAATATTAAAAAAGAAAATGCCGAAACAATTATTATTATTATTACAGTTAGTACCGATACAATTGAACATTGATAATTCATACAGATTCGGTGGTTGGTTACTGAACAGGCTAGCTACGTCCGGGTTTACTTAAAACGTCTACTCAATACACTGTAGTTACTCGCATATCTCCCCCTTTTATTTAATAATTTTATTCGAGGGAAATCGAGAGAGAAAAGTTATGCGAATAATTGCATTTCCGAAGACCGCATTTACAATACGCACATCACAAAAGAAATATATTCGAGAATAAACTATTGATAATTATCACAACACTATTTATTAAAAAAAAGCGTACATTCCAATAAGAATATGTATTAAAATTTTAATATCTAATAAGATATCTTCTTTTGTACTTCCCTGTATCTTGAATCTCCCCGTTCTTGTTATACTGCTACTCGCTAGGCCTCAAATCTTTCGATGGTGTTGGAGCTGCTGTTTGTGTCACCTTTAACAACTTGCAAGTCGTCGCCATCGTCAGATAGTCTTTACTACCGTCTTCCTACGTACAATGATTGACCTACAGAACCATCAAAGAGCATTAGATATTCCCGTTTTCTTGAAGCTCATTTACTCCATCACTCAAAGCCTGTGCACCCCAAATCCGCGAGAAAATCAATTAACACGACAAAAAAAAAAAAGTACTACGTGAAAGAAATCATTTTAAAATTAAGAGAAACTCAGTTTCTGAACATCTTCAAGAAGAGAAAATTAATTAAATATTTAAAATATTTTTCGAATATTGTGACAAAAAGCTAAGGGGGAATACGAGAGGAGGGAAAGTGTACTAGTAAATATTGCATATATATTCATATGTGTATTTTTTTACGTCCCCCCCAAAAAAAAATCATCAAAGATCTTTTCAGTATACAGTATGCGTCGCTTGTTAATTCACTGGTTAATAAATTCAGCCGCTTATTACATTCAAATTTCCAGGAACCAAAACAAATTATCTCCATGGCTTATGAAACTTAGATTGGCAATACACTGATTCTCCAGTGTCAAACCTTGTCCCTATACCTTTGAGATACTATTTCCATAATTCGTTGTTCGCACTGTATTTCAGAGCCGCAACATTTTCTCATATAAAGATTAACAAAAACAATCCTCTAAAGCAGCGATTCTGAACCGGTGATACGCGTACCACTGGTGGTAAGCAAGAGAAAAATAGGTGGTACGCAAAGAAACAAAGTATTTTAATTATTAAATTAAAAATTAAATACCCTAACATCCTGTTTAAATTTTTTTCTCTAACACTCGTAAATTTATACGATCTGAGCTTTGTGCATGGTCAATAGCCGCTCATAGACTTTAGCAATATAATCCGTTTTTATATTCAAAAATATTCTTTTAGCCATAGACATAACAAAATTTGTCATAAATGATGTTTTTAAAAGGAGTAATAGAAATGGATGTTGTATTTAATAGGAAATAAAAATAATTTCCTATAAAAAGATAATAGTATCTCGTCAGTTCTTTGAGAGTTGATCGATTTATTAGCATGTCTACACTTTATGTCGCCACCGTTTTCGGGCTCATATTGCTCTATTTGCAATTAGAATATTTTTTACGTTGATTTGCTGTCTCTAACAGCAGGTATTTTGTTTTCTTGTTGCTTTGTATTCCTTACTTTCTAAGTGATTTGAGAATACCATCTTTTGATTTAAAAACATTTTTGCGATTCGATTGAAGAACTCGTAATATATTGTGTATTTAAATATTTGTGAAAAAATAATAAAACAAACCTAGGTTTTCAAACTGGAAAAATAGCTAGGATTGACTAAGCGAAAAAGTGATGATTCAGATGTGATGAATCCAGGACAATCGACTAGCACTAAGAATTTGGAAAAGAAAAGAAAAATTGTTTATAGAAAATGTAATGAAAATTATTTATCATTTGGGTTTATTTGGAATGGACATGAAATGAACCCTCATCCTCAATGTGTTGTTTGCGGTGAACTACTATCCAATCAAAATATGAAATCATCGTTTCTTAAAAGGCATCTTGAATTTAAGCATGCCAATTTAAAGGATAAATCTGAAGAATATTTTAAAAGGAAATTACCGGAGTTCAAAAATAGTGAAAAAGTGATGAAAGGTTTTGTCACTTCATGTGAAAAAGCTTTGGAAGCTAGTTATCTAGTAAGCCTAAGAATTGCCAACACTGGGCAGGCTCACATTATTGGAGAAAACCTTACATTACCAGAAGCTAAAGATATCGTTTTAACATTATTCGAAGAAAAATTGGCTAATGAACTTAACAACATTCCCTTATCAAATGATACAGCAAGTGGAGAAATTCATGAAATGGCAAATTCCATAAAAGAGGCACTTATTCAAAAAATGAAACACAGTGAGTATTTCGCAATTAGATGAAAATACTGATATAACGAACTTGTTCAATTATTTGTTTTCCTATATTTCGAAGAAGACGAACGAATTGCCGAAGAGTATTTATTTTGTGAAACTCTTCATGATAGGCCAACTGTAAATAAAATTTTCAGAGTAATTGACAATTTTATGTCTGAAAATGATATTCTTTGGATTAAGTGCATTACCGAATGCAATGATGGACTAGTGCTTTAACAGGGAAAATTCCAGTATTATTTCTCAAATAAAGAAAGTCTCACCTGAAACCAAATTTCACTGATCTATTAAACGTGAATCTTTATTAGCCAAAATAATCCCCGAAAACCTGAAAATCGTTTTCAATTAAGCTGTGAAAATTGTTAACTTTATTAAAAGCCGAGTTTTAAATTCAAGAATATTTGCGATTTTATGCAAAGAGATGGGCAGTAAACATGAAACGCTTTTGTTACATCCCGAAGTAAGGTAATTCAGAGGCAAAGATTTAAATCGTCTTCTTGAACTTCGATCAGAAATTCAAAGTTTCCTGTGTGATTCAAAATTTGAATCGCAAAAATGTTTTATTTAGTGAATTGTGGTAGATGCGTTTAGCATATTTAGCTGAAATTTTAGGAAAGTGTAATAAATTAAATTTAGGATTACAAGGACAACTGTTAATTTGTTTATAATTAGAGATAAAATAAAGGCAATGATAAAAAAAACTAGAGCTAATAATCGAAGAATTGGATAATAATATTTTAAGCTTTCTGCCACTTTTATAAAGTTTTCTAACAGAAAATAATTTGAAAATAAAAGAAGAATTTAGCATCCGACATTAAATACCATTGATATATAATTTCAACATGTATTTTTCCGAGAATTATGAAAAAGAAAATTGGATGAGAAACCCATTTTGTTCAAGTGTATCTGGAATTTGTCTTATGAGGAAAAAGAACAATTGATTGAAATCTCCTTTGATCGAACTCTAACTGAAGATTTCAAAAATAACACATTTGTTAACATTTTGAACCGAAAAAAACGAATTTAAAGTCATTTCAAATAAAGCTTTTAAATTTTTATTCCCATTTTCCCCAACCTATTTACGTGAACAAGGATTTTCTTCCATGTTAAATTTGAAGAATAAATACAGAAAAGTGGATCCTAATTTACGGTTAAAACTAAGTGAAATATAACTAGACATAAGGAATTGATCTCTCTTAAAC